TTGGCAATTTTTCTAGCCGGAGTTTGCCCGATCTATGGGATAATTTTGGGATGCGCGAAATTATATGTGTTTGGTAATAAAATATATAATGAAAAAGAAACCTCAGAAATTAAGAAAGAAAACTGTTCCAAACTCACTCAGTGCTGTTAGCGGCCAGTCCAAGTAATTCGTTCGTTTACTAACACATTCATACTACCGACAAACTTTACGCTTCAACGAATTTTCATAGTTTCATTATTTATTCGTTTCCGGTGTCGCTTGTCTGGTTCTTCACGAGGACAGGGATAAAGAAAGGTTCGGCAGAAATAGCGTGAAATGATCATGTCTACGATACAAATGTTTAGGACCATCACATGTGACCCTTCATTTAGAGCAAGAGGCAAAAAACAATAGTAGAAAGAAAGGGATGATCTGGTGATCCGTCAGAGCGCGCATTCGGCCGTTTGTCCGCTTCGCTGCTCAGATTTTTCAGACGTTCGGATGAGTAAAGCAGACATTTGCACCCTCTGCACTTCCTCTTCATCGATGGACCGACACAGCAAACACGCTCTGTCAGCAACATTTAGTCCCGTGCGGACACATTTATACTGCTCCGAATAGTGGCAACAGTATCTCTAGTGAATGTTGCTGGAGTTGTTGGTACCGCCACCATTTGGGCGAGCACCAAACAGCTGCTAGAATAAGAATAATAATAGCAACCGAATTACTGGGATTGAAAGGGGGTAGTTGATGGCTGTTAGCCCTGGAGTGCCGCTTTGCTTTGTGCCTTTGGTCGAGTCAGTCGGTCAGTGTATGCTGGAATGGCGCGAGAGGGAAACCGGAGGTCCATAAGGAGTTGTTACAAAGATCAGATGGCATAGGAAGGGAGATTCGAGCATTGAGACGCGTTCTCCTGGTCACGAGCCGAAGCGGTGAGCGCTTTCTTTCAGGCCATGCTCAGGCCTCTATCACAGGTGCCATATTCTTTCCCTATCTGGTGTAGAGAGGAGAGGAAAGGCGAGGTGGTGAGCTTGTGAGAAATGTGCAAGGGCCAATGGCAAGGCGAACGAACAGCCCACGGATAGGCTAGGAAAGATGGGGCGAGCGACGGGAATACAGCCCCCTTCTACTTTGACTTCGGGGCTCTCCCTTTACAGGGGACCGAAAACGAGGGGACGGGAGCGGTGATACAGACAGCAGAAGCCACTCAGCGCCCGCCGTCTGCTCTTTTCTCAATGTGTGTTCATTTAAGCAGCAACTATGCCTCCGCCCCCTCTGCCGTCTCGTCTGTCTGTCAGCACCCCCGCAGTGAGAGCAGGAGACATCGCGCCCCACAGATAACGAGAGAGAGGATGAAAAGGCGTGGAGTCTGTCACTACGTAGTGCCGACAATTCTTAGACACAATTTATCGTTAGACTACATGAAAAACTGTTAGATGAAAAAAACTTTTGTCGTTGATTTTACGAACATATTTAACAAGTTCATCTGTTCGGCAGAACTTTTTTGGCGGAACGATGAGATGAACATTTCTAACAACAATTAATATCTGAGAACAATCGGTTAATCGTCTTATGTCTCGATTTCTATTACTGGAGTGGACTGGAACGGATTTTTGACAGCGAATAATCCAAGAGATTATCAAACGATCGTGGAAAAAATTCAGTACCGTTATAACAGATTAGGTTCACATAGAGCGAGCTATGTCAAACTACCTTGTGAAGAGTAGTCAAATTTTTTTCCCAGTTCCTATGTCAGAAAGAATATATGGTAGATATGAATCCAAATAAAAAAGCAGGTATTTTTAACATAATTATCGAGAAGGGTAGGATTAACGTAATTGTGGAAAAGGACTATCCTCATTCAATAACTATTCGAGCTGTTTCACACCTTTGCATAGTCTATGTTATAAGCAGTCTAAAACAAAACAGCGACGTCCATTTTCCAACATATAACTCATATCACCCAGGCTAGTAGGTATAGTATGAACGTCGACTATATTGTATATTTAGAAATCGGACATCACTGGTTGCATTCCTTTTACAGTCTGTGCTAAAGTTAGTTTAATGACCAGTTGTCGGAACTACTCGGGTCGTGTCTCGTCCGGCTCCATTGTGCTCCGGTTTCCATGACAACGCCGACATAAAATTATTATTTCCCTTGTTTGCCCCTTTCCTTCGCCTCATCCTCTTCCGCACATCGCCTCATCGTCATCATCATCGTCGTCGTCGTGCTCATTTTACCCTTACCCCATTTTGCCCCCTCGGCCCCCGGCTATTGCCTGCCCTTCATCGTTCGTTCTTTCATTGCCGTCGGATAGTGCTGATTCGACTACGCCTATACTAATATAAGAGTCGTAGCTCCGTCAGGAAAACCAGCTAGTAGCGTATAGCTACAACAAGTAGACAACACCAACGTATAGAAGACGTTTGCTGGTCCTCATCAACTCGACGCACTCGGTTATCATCGCAACCGTCGTTAGTCGCGCCTGTCACGAACCTCTTCTGCTACCATCACTGTCGCTCTATGATTTCGGCGGCAATTTTTCTAAGTCTGAGCTACCTTTTAGCTAACCTGTTCCGTCGTTGCTCCTTTCCTTTTTCATCGTCCTAATAATAATAACTACTGTATGATAATGATTGAGTCGGTCGGCTTAGGGCTTAGGGGCTTAAAGCTACCCCTTCCCTTTATATCAGTTGGTTCCCTTTCCCTTCCACTACCACCATTATCATCCTCATCAGCAGGAGTAGCACCGGAACCTTCAACAAGCGGGCACAGAGTCGCGACGGTAGGAGCAGTTCTTCTTTTCGAGGAAAAAACGATTCTTTAAGATGAAAGCTTTTGCGTTGCTGCTTTTGGAAGACCAGTCAGTCTTCCTTGATGCTTTGATTAATTCAAGGTATGTAGCGCGCACGTGGCATGACAAGAATAGATCCACTGGCAAGATGACGCATGACCTGCACACAACACGAAAAAGGATAGCAGCTGCTACAGGTGTTGCTACCGTTACAGCCCTCCATTTCACTCCCTATGAGCATCTACACGACAATTTAGAGCAAAATGTGAACAAATCGAAATGAGTTGTCAAAGGCAGGCTGATACAGCCGAGTCAAAGGATCAGTAAACGACGCGGTGATCTTCTCTTAATAGAAAAAAATGCGGACAAACATATAGGACAAAGTGTACGCTATATGAAAACGAATTATATTATATTGAGTCGAAAAGCCGACTATCTATGACGGCCATTTGACGAACGAAACTGGTACGTGATCATTGGATTAACAGCTAGATCTATCTGTGATAAATTATTTAAAGCTATATGTATATATATATATATATATATATAATAAGGTATTATTATTGCTCTGATTCGATCAGTATGCGGCATTTTTCATATACGCAGTCAATTGTCGACGTGTGTGATCGAACCAAATTGTTCAGATTCTGGGCTGTTGGAACATGTGAGAATAGAAAAGCAACCAGCAGGAACTACTCAGGGAAACCAACGAAATAGAGAAGACGATAAAGACACCTATATAGGATTTTTTCCTTAGTAGAAGCATGCTTTTAATCAATCAGTTGATCAAGCGTTTCTCCTCATACTTACGGTAACGCAGTCATTGATAAATAAATAAAGCTTAATTCTCTCTGTCCGCAAAAGCATTTAGCAATTGATTTATCGATCGTTATTTAGTTTCGCTATCCTATTTTGTTGACAGCTCGCATAAACCGACAAATCAGCGCAACTGTTACCATATCATGGTGCTCATTATACCTCGAAAAAAGCGTTTTTGGTAACAACCTCGCACTTTTACACAAGTATGTTACCGTACAATTTACATCCTTGTCCGCATACACATAGGGGCTAATCGTATCACAGACAAAACGATCTAATGAAAGCATATTGAGTAATCAGGCGAAATAAACGAGAATCGTTAAAGTGCCATATTTATGTTCATGCAGAACCCGAAGATCAGAGCTTTACTCAGCAACTTCCACTAAACGATTGCCCTAATAGCGCCCTAATAGGTGCGATTATATGAAGTACGATTTGTAGTGAAGGAGGATGCCACGAGAGAAAGGGCAAATGAGAATAATAGGATATTGTCGTTTTTGCCTCCCTGTCTTCCTCCATCCTACATATTGATGTGTATTGTATAACGAAAACAAACGACTATTTCAAATCTCTGATGACGACGCCAATTGCCCGACGGAATGTGGAACAGACGGCGATCGTTTTAAAAGGGAAAGGAGTGGCAAATCAGAAACGACAAGTTGTTGTCGCTGCAGTAACTTGTTAAGTTGAGCTCGAATATATTTCGTATTATTTTCTTCACTCCCTAGATGCTGAAACACTAATCGCAACGCAATATAGTAGTTTGGTTTTCTCATGTAAATGGGCATCAAAAGAATTAAAAACTAAAAATGTACATGTATTGAGAGAATATTGGTGATTCGTATCGATAAAAATATCTTCACTGGATAGCTAAAAAAAAAAAGGCATGTATATGTATAGTAGACCATTCGTGTTACTTTTATGCTATGCTTTATCAAGATTTTTGTTTCGAGATCAAAATATGTTTCTGTTGATGTGGGTTTCCGCTTACGAATTCACTACAAATGTTTCACGTGGTAGCGACTTATAAGGAGGCGGCGGCTTCGAAATGTAACGAAAATAAGGTTACCTTATTCACATGCAAATTGTCTGTGAGATTAAAAAGATAGTCATCGCATTTGTATCAACTTATATGAAGTCTCTAGACTAAGCGCTACTATGCCCCACATAGATAACTATAATAAGATAGGAATAAACACACTGCCTCGCATCACTATTTCTCCACCATGACGATAACGACTCTACAATGTAACAAACGAAAGAGGTAGAAAATTGGGTACGTTTTATGTACGCTCAGTTATATGCTTTAAGGACAGAAATCAATAGTTATTATAAAAAAAAAATATATATATATATATATATATGTATATTTCTTTTTTTTTTTTAATAGATTTTCACTTGTGTACATGCTGTGTTCTGGGTAGAACTTCGGCGGCGAACGCAACTTCACAGTGCTACTATAGGCTAGGCCAGAATATAAGTCCTCAGAGGTTTCTTGCTTCAAGTTTTTTAATTTCCAAAAAAAGTCAATTTCAGTCTTCTTCAAGTTAAATGTGTCGTAACGTGCGGCTAGGATCAGTAATCTTCAAATGCAGGTATTTTTGTATACAACGATATAAATGAAGTCGATCACGAGAAATTGGCCACCGTTCCTCGAACGTTTTTAATCACAAACTTTTTTGTATCCAGTAATAGAGTGCATCCGTCGCGGAATTTTTTCGGGTCGAAACAGCGCACCATCAGCGCAATACTGGCGTCAATTGTTGTAAAGGCTACAAAAGTGCGTAGGGAAGTTTTGTCTAGCTTGCGTAAGACTTCCTCAGCTGAGTGGGACATGTCTTGGAGACGGCAAAGAACCGATGACATTCCTAGATATAGAAATATTTACCATACAATTTTGAAATAGAATAATTTTCAGCCAATTAGTTCGATTTGTATACTATAAATCAATTTTTTCGTAACATCGATTGAGTCAAGCCCGCAAAAGGTTTGACGTTTCGGTTACCTAGGTACAGGTGAATTCTATACGTGAGATTAACCAGTGCCCCCAAAAGTAAATTAAATTTATCAAGTTATATACAACGTCATCATTCTTATGCCTTTGCTTGTGTATTGGCAACAAAACGTGCAGGCCATCATCGCTCATTCAAAGTTTGCTTTAACTAAATTATGAGGAGCAGTTTTTCAGAAAAAGTTCTCTAAAAAATTATAAAAGTGACTTTTCCCACTGTTCTTATTCCCGTGCCTAAGTAGGATATTTATGTTGCGGATCAAATTAGCTTTGACGAGAGAAAGGCTTACGTACGGATAGCAATTGTATCGTCATTCATGAAGTGTTTCGCGATATTGATGAACTGATCCGAGAGATCCAGCAGACCAATAAGAACTGTTCGTCGAAGCTTTGCACGGTTCCTAAGTACAGAAAAATTTTCATGTTACTAGGATTAGTGAGGATTGTTGCATCGAAAACCTAAAGGCCAACCGCAAATCAAACTTCTTCAGCTTTGCTAAAAGGATTTTCTCACTCTTAAAGTTCGTACGATCCTAGTTCTAGTCCAATTTAAGGAAGTGATTCAATGCTTTTGCCTTAATCAGTAAATCTCGATTTACGCTCCAGTTGAAAGCAATGAAGTTCACCGATTGGGTTGTAGCCGCACTGAGTGTAGGATCTACATACAGTTTGCAACCTCATAAATACCTTCTTGTACTTCGAGCATAAGAGCAGTGCTGTCCCTATGAATGCCTGGATATTAGCTAAAGTACTTTGATTACAATTAATTCTTATGGCCTCGAATTTATAACGGTGTCGCCATGCGCTATCTGTGAGAAACGTATTATTTCACTAATCGTTTTTACGATTCTTTAATATTCATTCGGATCACTCATTCCGGGTAGTACGTTCCTACCTTTCACACCTCTCTTGCAAATCAAATCAGTAAAAAACAAACACTGTGGGATTATGGAAAATGTGGGGTTAAAAGGGAAAGTGTAAGTTTAGAAAGAGGAAAAGTATTGATCTAGAAGTGAGAAAATGAAAAAATCAAAGTATTCAACTATTTGACTGAACCAGTTGGACATTTGAACTTTGAAAGGCTCATTTGTGAAATGTCTAAACGTTGAAATGTTCTGTTGTACAAATTAAATAACTTTATACTCGAATGCTTGGCTTTTTTTGGCCTGTCCTTCATCAGTGACGAAAAAAGGTTCGAAACATATAGGTGGTGATTCGTAACTGTGGAATAGCTCTACTAAATCCTTGTAAAAGGAAATATGAACAGGCCTAACAGTTTCTGTGTGCATTATATGTAAGATGGCCTGTAAAATGAACTGTTCACTTAATCGATGTTTTTTTTCAAATCGGAATAATTGGGTCATTATCGTCAATAAAGTCGAATGAAAAAACATTTAGAGGCTTTCCAATAATTTTGCAACGTTTGCTGGGAGGAAACATTTCCGCATATGTTCAGTTTACACCTTTAAATATATCCTGTTTTTATCTGAATTTTCCAATCCGAAACGGCAATCGCGTACATACACCCGTGACAAGCTCAAAATTTAATTTAGGTGAACCTAATACCAACTGCTACATACCCTTCAAGAGAGTTTAGCGAAAAACTTGCGGTTAATTCAATGGAGTTTTGTAATGCTTCCAGGAAGATCTGCCTGAGCTTCGTATCGGTAAGCAGATTAAGAAAGCTTACGATGGTCATTCGACTTAATTCTGTAGAAAGCAGTGTCGCATTCCCAGCCAGATCCTGTAAAGACGGCCGAAGCTCTTGGCCACAGGCGGGAAAAATCGCGTTCTAGCGACCAAATTAAACATGAATACAGTGTTATCGATTTGTTCATTCTGGGCGCATGCGAACCGAACATGAATTTTGGCCACAAACCTTATGAAATATAAATATTTTCATTACTAAAGGCTTGGGCTCGTTTGTTTATGTAATCTATAGGAGCGGAGTATTATGGGACCGGTCTTGCTAAATGAAACTTTTAAAAGACGACACGGATGACAAGTTTGTATCAAAACACGCTTCGCCATGCATGAGACAACATTTGGTGTATTCCTTCCAATGAACGCTAGTAAAATGAGACTATATATACATAAAATGAATAATTTTTTTTTCGAACATTAAAACAATTTAGAGACGCCAACATTGACACTAAATGATTTAAGCAAGTGTACCTATTTTCAATGTTTTTTTTTTAATCTTTAAGAAGCTCCTTAATTCGTTTTAGTCTTCCGTCATGAGCCCTCCAGAAAAAAACTTATGAGATAACTAAAAGAATTATTCCTTAAATTGCTTAGAAAAAATGACTTATAAAGCCTGTAAATCAAGTTCACGTAATTCAATTATTTGACTAGCTGTGTTAAATTTTTTCTTAAAAAAAATGCAACACCGTAACATTGAAAGTTCGTAATAAAACACGGAATTATGACATACCTCGCTACATTCTCCTTTGGTAGTTTCAGCCCTAGATAAAGCTGGCGCAATGAGGAGTATTAAAACTAATAACATTTTGTTTTGTCAAGGGGATTTTACAGGATTATGCTGATGACCGGCTGACTCTTGGCGGCGAATGACGCAAATTAAGCATCCACCACCAGAGTCCCGCAGCTAATTCTGCCCACATCGTATCATATAAACTCGTATTTGGAAGCTACACAAATTTATCTAATTGTTTTTGATAGGCAATTTGAACGACTAAAGCGTTGCGTTGAGAATGAGTCTAGGCTAGACGATTTTAGAAATCAGAATATAAGAGCATGGATAGCGCTACAACTTTAGTCTTAGCTAACTACATCTTTGAAGTTAGCAGCTATAGGACGGATAATCTTAAAAAAAGGCCAAATTCTAGTTATTTGAATTTATCATTAACTTAAATAATGCAGATTTGTTTTTGCACTACAAAACAACATATACACTTCCCTAAAAAAGGCTGTATCCGCTGAAATGGTATTTTAGCATTAAACGGTCATTTTCAATATTTTCAGTAATAAAGGCAGAAACTGTCTACAAGACAGGCTGTAGCCTGGTAGCTAAAATGAAGCCTAAGAGATGCTTAAAATAATTAGGTGGCGTATTGAGGCAGACGGCCGTTAAGCACATCTTTGTGTTGTAGTTGCTTTATTGAACTTATGCTGTAGCTGCGGCGCTCTTTTTAGATACATAACATAGGGTTTATATTGTGGAAATATGTCACAGAAATGATCAGAAATCTAATCCTCAGAAAGTAAAATCATTCTCAAAAATAAAAGTATGGCATTGGGCGGGCGAACTTAAATCAGCGCCTGAATTACATACTGCGCATACTTCTCAGCATTAGTCTACATAACTGGACGAACACAGTGGAGGAAGTACGATCACCTTTTATATAGCACCTTTGTCGAATAGCAAGACATAGAGGTTTTTAGCTGAGCCTTTTGTTTTTTTTTTTCTATTTTTGTTTCTGATTATACGCATAAGTATTCTACTAAAGTAATTAAACGAATCAACTGGGGTAATGCTGTGGACATGCAGGGGCACAACTCGTCTGTCTACCAAGACTTACGGGCGATTCTACTCTTTTCACCTGTTCATGTTTACAATATATGATAATCTGAGGCCAAGCTTTTTGTTAGGCAAAAACATATTTGCTGATATTATCGTTTCATTCTATTTACTCTCCCGTATTCGTAGCAGTAGAAGCCTGCTGGTTATCTCTATTTTGCCGCCTCTTGGATGTCATAGCTATATTGCGAAGCTGCGCTAAATCGTTATTGAGCCGAATAAGGAAAATAGATAACGGCTGGCCTCTCGACACATCGCTCATGTGTCGCTATTATAAAATACATCTTAACGGTGCGGTAATTCTTTCCATCGATCGTTCACCCTCTATCAAATTTGTACCGTAGCACAGAGTGACAATAAATTACTTTAAAAAAGTGCCTACGGTAATTATAGTATGATTTTTTTGACCTCACGCATACTTAAACATCAGCAATATGATTCGAGCAGCAACTGTACGACCAATAAAACATTTGTAAAGGTATTGAAAATAACACAATTATGCTGTAGTGTGTATTAAATATCTTCAAACACGTTACATTCTTAACAGCCAGCTAATTATAATTAAATATTCTCTAGTCACTATATCCCGTACATTCGGAAAGCATTTATTCAGACAACCAAGTCGAGTTCCAAATACTCTGTGTGTGCGCTGAATTTCGAAATTTATGTACGACCTTATGTGCCCCTAGGTTTAGCGGGCAAACATATTACGACTGCGCCATGATTGATAGAACTTCGAGCTCATTGGGATACCGTCCTAATTCAATCAGCTACAATAGACCTTTCATATTATACGAGCGTTTTTTTATATATTTCACAATTTTTATAGAAAAAAAATTCATTTTTTCTTATTGCTGTGAGGTTTAGAGCCTGTACCTTAAGGCGCACAACGAGACGATTGAGGATACGTTCAGTAAGTGTCGATTGGGAACCCGAAGTCGAGTAAAGCAATTCCGATTGTAAATTTACATACAAAGGGGCAAATCGTCGACTATTTGTTTCTCAAATTTTTAAAATTATACAGAACCTCTGAATATTTTAATACGAGACTAAATAACTCAGAGTGGCCAGACATTTATAGAAGTTCCTAGGACGGATACGATATTCAAGAACATGATTTCTCTTTGAATTGCCCGTCTGCTAAAAAATAAGTTTTACAGTTGATGATTTTTCTAGTTAAAATAATGCAACAAACTTAAGATCATGTAAATTTGGATGCATCGTTCTCTTGCGAAAATTCAAAAAACTTTCTACGAAAGCGAGTTTGATGGTAGCTGAAGATGATCCATGGATTTGCAACAAATAATATTTCTTATATAACTTTTTTTCTATTCTTGCCCAAGCAAACGAACTATTCGATTACTTTGCTGTGATTATTTACAAGTGATTCGAATTTTTTTTTGACATTGTGCTGCGACTTGGGAAGCACAATTTACTACCACGCTCAACTTCTGTCGAAATTAGTTCAACTTGCCTACTTTTACCAGAAACCGTGGTTACCTCTATTGTCATAGCTATATTATATCTCTATTTCGAAAACGAACAAAACACAAATAGAGTTAATAGATTATTTAGACTTCGTTTGTTTTATTCCGTTAATTTCGCTCTCCTTCATACTCATTCACTACAGTTAGTGGCAAGTAGCGTGCATAGCGTTTTTAGCTATCGTTTGCATCCCCATATTACGTAACCCAGCGGTTAATATCGAGAAAAAAAGGCACAGGGCGTATTCGATACAATGTGAAATCATAACCGTATTTACACAGCTTTGCAACACTACTCAACGGAATCACTGTCGATTAAGCGTGTAACATTCGGTGATTCTCCGCTGTTGTATAGTCACGATCCCAAGCCCCCCAGGTTATGATTACGATGGTGATGATAATTCACGATGGCCTTCGCTTCCTCCTGCGCCCCTTTCTGCTCCTCCTTGTCCTTCTATGTGGTACCGTGGGCGTCGTAGTCGCTGTAACCGGCTCTGAAGTCATACCTGAATCTTTCTCGTCAACTTCCACAGTAATGGAGTCATCTATTTATCTTTGCTGTACTTGTGGTTACCTAACTTAGAAGATGCGAATCAGTAACTCCCCGTAGATTAGTCGAACAGAGCTACAAACTACTGTCAATCACGTAGTAACGTGAATGAATTCGATCGAAGCAGCGCTGATTTTTTTTATCATGATGAAGCTGACGAATGGCGCAAACGACAAGCAGATTACCTTTCTCTTAGTTTTGAGCATTAAACTGTTGCAACTATAATACAAGTGTACAATCTGCAACAGGGACCCACGAAAAAATACGTGTTTATATGCAAAGATGGGCTATTCTTTGCAATAGTAGAAAAGTAACGTGTGATATCGCTCGTTTGTATTTAACTTCCCTCACACGGAACGTCGTTCCATGACGACTACCTTTGTTCAGCTTCTGCAAGCAAATTTCATTAATACTAATAATAATAAGAGCAGTAATTTTTAATAGACTAATACAATGGTACTGAATGAATACTTTCCTGTCCAATGTTGGGGCAAAGGTGCTGAGTTACCGTCTTGACGGTGAGGTCTATTTTAGTTAGTTAAATGGTATTATAAAGTCACGGAATGGATCTAGGCTATCTTAATCTTATTTTACAGTAACATAGAACGGGGAAGGTTGTGTAGGGCATAAATAGTGATCACCACAGTTCATGTTTAGTCAAAAAATGGTACTTCGCTAATTTGGTGAATAAACTCCTATTACACAAAAGGGGGAGATAAAAAACACAAAATAACAATGAATTCGCATATATTGTCTACATTCAACAATCGAAATAATGGAAGTATCTATATCGATATAAATAATCATGCCGTAGCCGCTGTGACAAACAGGTTTCGTCGTTGTTTTCCACTATTTACGCCAGCGGACATCAAACGTGACAAAAATGATTGCTCAGCAAATGAAGGGTTTTCCAGTCCTGTTTATTTGCAAACCGAACAAAGGAGATAAAAGTCTTTAAACATCGATTTTAATACAAAAAGAGACGGTTTGAGAATAAAAACTACTGATTTAAAGTAATAGTAATATTAATAATTGACTTTTTAAAATATATGTGTCTTTCACACTAATTTGTGGGCCTTCCCTAAACTCCTTCTAAGTGAGATCTAAGAAAGACATTTACTGACACTATATAGAACTTAGAGGAGGCAGGAGAAAAAGAAGAAGACATATCTTCGGTAATGCCAAGCCCACGCTACCGAGAGGTTAAGCCCACTTGCTTATATAGTTATCTCGGAGACTCCACTGTAACTTTTGCGAAGGATATAAATATAAAACCTCATTCCGGCCAGCCTTGTTCTCTACCAGTTACACAAAATACGAGTTTCCTTAATGTAAACAGTATTTTGATTGTACTACGACTTCAATTTTCCATTTACATAGTTTTCCAGCCCTGTCTGACGGCATGATTCTGATGATAATGTGTAATATTATGCGAGATTATTATTATTATGGCCATATATGTGTAGCAACTACCACGAATCCGGCTCCGCGTTTCTTCAGCGGTATTCTGTACTGTAGCCCGCATCAATTCCCACCTATGTATTTGTTGTCGTCGATTTCCGTTGAAGCAAATTCGTCTATTGTATTCTCGCTGTCGGTGGTAATTTAGTGTGCTCTAGGTTTCTCAACTATTGATGCTACTGTGTCATCAAAGCAGAGTTGATTTCACTGAAGAGGAAAAGGCACAGAGCAAGCAAGCCAATCGAAGCAAAATATTGAGATTTTATATGTTTGTAGATGAAGACGTGACATTTTTACTGAAGCAACTCCACTGAAGCCTTTGCGTTTTCTTCACCGCGTTGAAGTAACCGAAATCATTGTTTCTAACAGACTATTCCGCCTAGTGGGCAATAAACGCTGACAACAAGAGATTTACAAGCTAAAGAAACAAGCAATGCAGCGATCGGCTAATTACTATAAATACCATTATAGGGTAGAGATGAGTACGGCGATTGTGTAGAGTAAGTAATGGCCAAGGGTTACTGTGGGTAATTTCATCAAGTTTTCCAGAAACGGCGCAAAAACCATTGGAACGATGAACCTGAAATATAATAAAGTAAATAAAGTAGAATGCACAATAAATAAATAAATAGATCAAACACAACGTTTTTTTTTATATATCCAAACGGTATAGTGAACAGACTATAAAGTATTGTCTCTGCTAATGAGTAGCCATAAATACCAATGCACATATACAAGGTTCGAAAAATTGATGGCGGAAAATTTTAGTGAAAAGGATTAAGGCTTTCTTTTCTATTTGTTCCCCTCTTGATCGTTCTCCGTCTGCTTGCTGAACTGCCGGTATGTACAGACAATGCACAGAAACTTTTTGACATCTGTTGCTTTGGAAGCTCTCCTGGAAGAACTGACATAAAGCCCGGAGTCCTCAGGTTTGATTTTTGACTAATATTAAGGAAAACATAACTAAATTATATAATATTGTTGCGGTGTATTATCTTCTTATTGAGTTTGTTACTATCAGATCGTACCGCAATTTTGTCTGATGTATGTGAATATAACCACGCTCCGTGCATTTAGATCTATTTTACAGAACAATCCGCACGGAGCTACAAGAAGTAACATCTTCAGGCGGAAAACCTATTGCTAATAGAGATCAATAAAGCAAATATTTTTCTCTGGAATGCTGGAAGATGATTCGAAATAAAATAATATTTACCCGTTTTACGCTTATTTTCAACTTACAGCTTAGTAACAGCAAGCGCCAGGAGGAAGAGGGATTCAAACCCGCCCTATCTTCACACAAATATCGCAGAACAACATTTAACGGCATTGCCAGTACGATAGTTCACTGTAGCATTAGAGATGAGCCACACATACTGAACGCTGCGTTACAGTGAACGAAGATTTGTGTACTACAACGCTGAATCAAGGGGAGCACTCAACCAGCCAGTACAACGGTAGTTAGTACACACAGAGGACATGTCCTTGCAGGTTAAGTAGTAACTGCAACCCTTATTGTGTCAGAATTTGGAGTATTAGTAGACTAACCGATTTAGTTCAGCACGTTATTCTAAAATCGAACCCACTTCAGAGCAGTAACCCAACGACGCCATTCGAAGAAAGGAAGTCCGTTGTGATCACTTAATTTAGTAAAGTCATTTAATTAAAACGTTCGCAATTGTTGCGTATTAGAATGGGGTATTATAGCATTAGAGGTACAATACGCGCTTACCAGAGAGCATTTGAAAATAAAAAATTCTATCCGTTGTTTTCTCTAACCGCAGTCTTTATTTAAGATTAATACGTCCATACACAGATAATATTTTGACGTTTTTCAAAGTAATAATACTCAGTTTTGTATTAGAACGCGTGTCCTGCTTAGCTTCGGAATCTTCGACGAGGCCGCATGCAGCGTTACAGGCCCATAGTATTTTTTGTTTCTACACCGACGATATCTTCCATGGAAGCCTTTAAATACACAGGTCATATGTAATAATTTAATTAAATAATCAATTCATTACAGCACAGTCAGTTTGCAAAAATGGCTGGGCCCTACACAGATATTTGCTGATTGACTGAAGACTGTGCTAATAGTAGACAATAGAAACTGGCTGGAAACAATACACGTTACGTATGCTTGTTATATTCACTGACTGCTATTATCTGTATATGTACGAGTAATGTAGTCACACTGAATGTCCTTTAATTTTAGTATATAAACTATTACTGTGAAATGACAAAACGTGTTCCTTTGTTACTGCTACTGCAGCGCAACAATCAACATCAGCCTCAACAAACATCTGATTCTAGTTAAAACACTGCCAGCAGTTACTGACCGACCACTGTGCGTCGTTGTTTTCCAAGGTTAACTGATACATTCGTTGCTTCAGAAAACTTCCGCCATGTTGGACGCGGGGAGCAATTAATGGGTGAACTAAACTGGATTTCCTACCGAACCATCTTTTCCAAAACCAGGGCCGTCTTGTGGTCGTTGTAGTAGTGCTAAGCGGGGCCGCATTTTTATGAAGTTCAAATATATACGTGGTTCTTGTGGATGGCTTGGAAACAGAGTTTTGACAGGGTAGTGTCCACAGCGACGAACCAAGGGTTCGTTCGAGAGGAGCTGCTCCGGGTGGCCATAAGGAGCAGTCAATATGTGTACGATACAGGGGCTGTTCGACCGGTGATGTTGGCCATGAAAGGTCGTGAGTGCGGGAAACGTCAATTAATGAAACAAGAACAATCATGATCAGACAACATAATAAATGATGGCCAGCTGAGCCGCTTTTCAGCGGTATGCCTACTATATCCAATTTCGGAAAAGTCACAAGTTGCAACATTTTTTGCTTGCTTCACCAAAAACTCAGAATGACAACAATATGACGATGTCGAATGATATAATACACAACACTTTGATGTAATAGAATCGGGACGAACGGTTTTTTTTTTCTTTTTAAGAAAAACAAATTGCTGCCTAGAACAAACGAGCACTTAAAATTGTCCAACATTACCTGCTTACTTGGGCAGGACAAATGAGAGGACTTTTATATCGAATGACTCTTAATGAAGAAGCAAAGAGGGAAGCCTTTCTTCTTCGAATATCTCTACGCTTCAATGAAGTTGTGTCGGAAACCGTTATATAAATCTCGCAAGAGGCAACAAGGCAATATACGATAGCCATGCCCGTAGTTATAGCGAACAATATTAACACTGCCGTTCGATGCTTGTGCTAAAACTGAGTTAGTTTGTTTCGCCAAATAAGGATATTAGTTACACATTGTCCATCCACATATATATATATATATATATATATATATATATATATATATATACATGTATATTATTATGGCATAGGCCAATAATATGTCATATCCGAAGTGTTTCCTTCTGTACCACTATATAAGAGAAAGATGTCACCAAAATATCATTTGCTTCTGGTTTCGTCACTAGGTTATATATGTATGTCCCTGAATGTTTTCCTAAAAGGAACAAGGCTTCTAGAATTTCTCTGTGAATAGCGGATGAGTTACGAGATTTGCCGATTGTTTCTGGCAATCGGCAAGCGAGCAAGCCATACTGAAGCCTCCCATTCATAGGATGATCAGTGGTATCGCTGAAATAATAGTTTGTAGAAACCTGACGGCTGCGGCTGATTGCCAGCCTGTACTACTGACAAAAGGCAATCGATCGTTCCATGAATATATTTCCATCATAAATTTCGCTTCGTAAGCATTTTTTGTCAGTTCAGTGACATGTTAGGTCGTAAGCCTTCTACCGTCTTGTTGAGCCATGAGCATTTGTACTACCTGGAGTAGTAGAAAAATTGTCACGCCTAAGAGTTGAAGTTTGTTCGAGTACCGGTGTAGAGAATATGCGACAACGTAGATACCGTTCAGCTTATTCCTATATGAATTTCGTAATTATCCATGATTATTTCAGGTAGCAGTGGATGGTCGCCATATACCTGCAAACAATCTAAGAACATTTGATCCATCGGAAACTTTGGCGTTTAGTGGATATATTTTAACATGTGATCTTTGAGATGCATGCTGAACTGTGGAGGCTCCAATTTAGACACGAGGGCCATTATAGTAAAAGCGGTCTTTACTGCTGTATTCACCAAAATTACCATTTTTGAATTCAAACGTAAAAATGTCGACATATAGTATCACGTGATCAGATCTAAGCGAGATGCTGTGAACATACTTAGTGGATGCAATCTATTTTTTTTGCTTTGCAAACGAGAATACGGGATATTTCATTTCTGTAAATAATGACTCCTTTGCTAGTATAAATAAATGCACGATGTAGTTTCTTCCGTTACATGTAAAAACTTTTAGAAATAATGGATCATTCTAATATGTGTATGTACAATTTGATCGTGGAAAAATTGATGAGCTCTGCTTAAGTGTTCAAACTCATTACTTGTCATATATAATGAAAGAATACCATCTTTGAATAACAATGCGTCACGCACGTAATGTACTCAATTGATATGATATATCTGACGCTAGTAGCTAAAACCACTTCTTGCAATAAATATTTTTTATTACCTTGTTATTTTATATGTTTTCCCTTACCTTGCATATTTAGCCACCGAGCATTTAAAAGATACATTTAAAACGTTTGAGCTACTTAAAAAACCATTTTCTATATATATACATATATATATATATATATATATATATATATATGTATATAAATTGTCCCTATACGGACAAATAACAGACAAGCCTGATGACTAAAAGATTAGTTCTTTTTTTTTATATATATCTTTATATAATGCGTTCTCAT